GGCCTCCAGCTCGTCTATAGTAGACGGGCCTCCAGCTCGTCTATAGTAGACGGGCCTCCAGCTCGTCTATAGCAGACGGGCCTCCAGCTCGCCTATAGTAGACGGGCCTACAGCTCGCCTATAGTAGACGGGCCTCCAGCTCGCCTATAGTAGACGGGCCTCCAGCTCGTCTATGATAGACGACCTCCAGCTCGTCTATGATAGACGGGCCTCCAGCTCGTCTATGGTAGACGGGCCTCCAGCTCGTCTATGATAGACGGGCCTCCAGCTAGCTACAAAACTATGAGCACGAACCGAAAATTAGAATGGAAATGCGAAATCTGCAAACCAAGGCAAAAGTCTCCCAACAACACCTACCACACATTTTTCTATTCTGGTGATATGCAAAATTCGCATAAACAACAACATCAACAAGCAGACGAAACCCCGACTGCAGGAGATGAAAACGCACAACCAAACACTCAACAACAACAGAAGAAACAAAGAGAGTCAGATGCTGACTCTGTCAACAACAAAAACGTGAAACGGTTTAGGGAGGGAAATGCTGTAAACATCACCAACAACAGCAATGCTTCAAAAACCGATGTGCAATATCACAACAACAGCGATATGCACTATGCTGAGATCAGGTCGGACATGGCAGAGCTCAAAACAACAATGCAGCAAATGTTAGGCAATATGATGGAGAGTATAAACACTAGTCTCAGTAAAATAAATGACACATTATCCAATATCTCATCTCAGGTCAATGAACTGCAAAAGAAAGATGAAGAGAAGAGTAAGCAGATAACTGAGATGGACAAAAGAATAAATGTACTAGAGCAGAAGACAATACAAAGGAACATCGAAATCAATTGTTCTAATGCTGCCAATATGGATATGGATGCTGCTGCGGTAGTAAAGAAAATTGCTGCTTCAGTGGGCGTCGAAATTAATGATGTCCATATAGAAAACGCTTATTTTGTGAAATCGAAGAGTAAAATAATAGTGGAGCTCTCTTCAGTAAATAAAAAGAAAGAGTTAATGGCGAATTTAAAGAGACATAGGATAGATGAAAATGTTCTCAATGACAGTACTCTGCCCACAAATAGATACATCTATGTAAATGATGAATTAACGCCGACTTACAGGCGATTGTTGTGGTTGGCTAAAACTAAGGCTAAAGAAGATGCCTGGAAATTTGTTTGGGTCAAAAATGGTCATATTTTTGCTCGAAGAAAGGAAAACTCACATCAAATTGTAATCAATAACGCTGCTGACATTGAATTAATAACAAGATCGCAGTAAAAATATCTTTCTTTGCTCAGTTTTTCGGTCTCTAATACGAAATTTTCCAGTATCTACAATCAGATAAAAATAAGCCAAAACATAATTTTTGCCTCAAATTCGCTATATTTGCGAAATCGAATATTAATATAAAATACCAAAATGAATTTTCAAAACCAAATCTTTAATAATTTTAATGAAATCAATGATAATGAATTAACCCAAAACATTTCAATATTATGCATGAACATTAGGTCCATCAGAAAAAATTTTACTGAATTCCTAATATGGACCAAAAATATAATTAATAAAATTAAAATTATAGTCTTAACGGAGACAAATATAAACGACAACGAAAACCAATTTTTTCAAATTAACGGGTACAACTCCGTATTTTTAAACCGTGAAGGGAGAGGAGGAGGAATTGCCATATACATAAATGAAGATATACATTTTAAAAACTTAAACAGTAATACAACATCTTTCGAATCTATGAAATTGGAATTAATATTCAATAGTAATGATGTGATAACCATTGTACCATGCTACAGACCTCCCAACATGAATATAAAAACTTTTATTGATGAATTAGATCAGTCTTTGAATGAAATCAACAAAAAACAAGGTATTATACTCGTCGGTGACATGAACATAGACATAAGCGTTGACAATAGATCCGCCAAAGATTACTTAGATATGTGCGCTACTCATGGACTTCAGTGCCTCATTACAGGAATAACGCGAGAAGATGAACATGGAGGGAGTAGAACGTGTATAGATCATATTTTCGTCAGGCATAATGGGAGGCAAGTCTCCAATTCTGGAATAATCGTTACAACAATTTCGGACCATTATACGATATTCGGATGCATCAAAACGGAAACCATACCAAAAAAGTCCGATATAACAAAGCCTAAAATTAACAATAAAAAGGTAAATTTCCTTATAAAAAACACTGATTGGAAAAATTTGGTAGAAAGGGATAATGATTCCAACCAACTCTTTAACGACATATACAATGTCTTTTGCGAAATTTATGAAAAATGCTCTGAGCCAAAAAAAATACAAACGAAAAACAGAAATGGACTTCCTTGGCTAACTCATGAATTGCTGCAATGCTGCAACATCAGAGATAATTTGTATAAAAATTATCGTAAAAATAAAAATACAATGAACGAAAAAATTTATAAAACGTTCAATAACCAACTAAATAAAAAAATAATTTCGGCCAAAAATCAGTACTTTTACAGAGAATTCGCTAAGAATAGGGGTAATATACGCCAGACCTGGCAAACAATAAATCAAATCATTGGGAAGAAAACCTCTAGCATAGACGAAACCATCAAAACCAATTTCCCCAACCAAAACATTACCGAGATTACCGAAAACTTCGCACAACAATTTAAATCTAACGTGGAGAATATTGTTCACGTATGTGAAATAAAAATTCTGCCACGCATACAAACTAATCTTCCAAATACAATGTTTCTTGAAGAAACAAATGAAGAGGAAGTAAAAAATGTAATCAATAGCCTGCCAGTACCTTACCTCTGTATAAGAAACAAACCGAAAAGAAAAAAAGTATTTAAAATACACCTACTGAACTCTCAATAGTTTATCTTATTATTTTTAGTTTCGAAAAAATAAAAATAAAAAAAAAATTGTCAAAAAAGTTATATATTAAAAACCCCAACTGAACTATACCATTTGTAATATAAAAAAATTGTACATATTCACTCATAATTAAGTTTATCCTGCAGACAAGCCCAAAGCTTCGCAGAACACATGAATTGTTACTTATTATTTATTTTCAATAAAGGAAAAAAAAAAAAAAAAAAAAAAAAAAAAAAAAAAAAAAAAAAAAAAAAAAAAAAAAAAAAAAAAAAAAAAAAAAAAAAACCTCCAGCTCGTCTATGATAGACGGGCCTCCAGCTCGTCTATGGTAGACGGGCCTCCAGCTCGTCTATAGTAGACGGGCCTCCAGCTCGTCTATAGTAGACGGGCCTCCAGCTCGTCTATGGTAGACGGGCCTCCAGCTCGTCTATGGTAGACGGGCCTTCAGCTCGTCAATAGTAGACGGGCCTCCAGCTCGTCTATAGTAGATGGGCCTCCAGCTCGTCTATAGTAGATGGGCCTCCAGCTCGTCTATAGTAGATGGGCCTCTAGCTCGTCTCTAGTAGACGGGCCTTCAGCTCGTCTCTAGTAGACGGGCCTCTAGCTCGTCTATAGTAGACGGGCCTTCAGCTCGTCTATAGAAGACGGGCCTTCAGATCGTCTATAGAAGACGGGCCTTCAGATCGTCTATAGAAGACGGGCCTCCAGCTCGTCTATAGAAGACGGGCCTCCAGCTCGTCTATAGAAGACGGGCCTCCAGCTCGTCTATAGAAGACGGGCCTTCAGCTCGCCTATAGTAGACGGGCCTCCAGCTCGTCTATAGAAGACGGGCCTTCAGCTCGCCTATAGTAGACGGGCCTTCAGCTCGCCTATAGTAGACGGGCCTCCAGCTCGTCTATAGTAGACGGGCCTCCAGCTCGTCTATAGTAGACGGACCTCCAGCTCGTCTATAGTAGACGGGCATCCAGCTCGTCTATAGTAGACGGGCATCCAGCTCGTCTATAGTAGACGGACCTCCAGCTCGTCTATAGTAGACGGGCTTCCAGCTCGTCTATAGTAGACGGGCCTCCAGCTCGTCTACAGTAGACGGGCCTCCAGCTCGTCTATAGTAGACGGGCCTTCAGCTCGTCTATAGTAGACGGGCCTCCAGCTCGTCTCTTGTAGACGGGGCTCCAGCTCGTCTATAGTAGACGGGCCTCCAGCTCGTCTCTTGTAGACGGGGCTCCAGCTCGTCTATAGTAGACGGGCCTCCAGCTCGTCTATAGTAGACGGGCCTCCAGCTCGTCTATAGTCGACGGGCCTCCAGCTCGTCTATAGCAGACGGGCCTCCAGCTCGTCTATAGTAGACGGGCCTCCAGCTCGTCTATAGTAGACGGGCCTCCAGCTCGTCTATAGTAGATGGGCCTCCAGCTCGTCTATAGTAGAAGGGCCTCCAGCTCGTCTATAGTAGACGGGCCTCCAGCTCGTCTCTAGTAGACGAGTCTCCAGCTCGTCTATGATAGACGAGTCTCCAGCTCGTCTACGATAGACGACCTCCAGCTCGTTTATGGTAGACGAGTCTCCAACTCGTCTATAGTAGACTGTCTCCAACTCGTCTATAGTAGACTGTCTCCAGCTCGTCGATAATAGAGGACCGCCTTCTCGTCTACAAAACTCCCTTCAGCTGATCAGTTGGTCTATAAAAGACTCCCTTCTCGCTCCTCTGATTTCCCCTCAACATAGCCTTGTTAACTCTCTGCTTAGCCTCGTTACTACCACCTATGAAATTTCCAAAAACAAATAATTTCCTAAAACCACCTGTTCCTAAACATTGGCGCTTATATTACCGCAATTTACCCAACCATGTAGTTAATTAAAAACACATTTGCATAGCGGGTCGAGTAGTTGAACTAATTTAGCGGATTATGACCTCGGCAAAAAATACTCAAAAGGGTATACCCATAGTTCCTCACCTCCCATGTATCCTCGAAATAGGTTACCCATGGCAACAGGGATTTAGTAACGCACAAACATACACACACTCTGACATACAATTTGTATTTTCACCCCGCAAATGGGAAAATATTGACTGAGAATGCCACACAAACAAACAAACAAACACAGACGCACATCCTGCTTACCTTGGGACATGTGTCGAGCAACTCAAACAGAACTGGTTCTCCATCAACCATGGCTTCATGTTTATATCGATTTTCTGGAATTAGAAGAAACGCAATCCGGTCATGGAATAAAAATATTTTATTAAAATAAAATGGCGAATGGGAGGGGGTAAGGCAGAGAGATAAAGACATAAAATCCGCACAATGACAACAATGAAAATCAACAACGAAGTTAGCAAACACTGACAGCGGTTGTTAGTGGGCAAGGGCTGGGTGGTCGCACAATCATGCGAATTAATTTGTGAACACAGAACAAGGTAAAGTGAATAGTATAGGGAGAGCTTTGCCATAAAAATAAGTTACTTATATTTGCTCTCCATCGAAGCGGGGGATTCAAATGCTCTTTACATGCCACACACACAGAAATTATAAAAATATATATGATTTGTCACGTAAGCTGCTGCTGGTGCTACGTGTGTGTGGCAAGGACATTTTCGCCACATGATAAAGGCACACACATACACACAGAAGGTGAGTTAAAGGATTCTATTTAAGGCATGGTTAGTGGCGAACACACAAAATCGCAGAGAACACAACGCTTTGTTATGAACTAAAAAAAATGCAATTATTGCTGCCTTACAAGCGTCATAAAAAAGTTTATGGGTTAAGCAATTCAGAAGCTTTTAGCAAAAATATTTTCAGTGTTTTTGTTAAAAAATTAATAAGGTATTAAACAAAATGCAGGACATTGATATTGACTTGCCCACCTGTTTGATGATCATATTCTCCTATATAACGTTTTGTTAAAAATCGAACAATTAGTGCTGGAAGTATAAAGAAAGAGTACGAGATGAGAGGATAATTAATCTAAATTTTGAAGTGAATATCAGAGCCATAAAAATAAATATTACAAGATTAATTATACCATGGACAAATAGAGCCACAAACGAGGATTCTTTAATCATTTTTTTAAGGTATATTTTAAGGCCTCCCGTAGCCGAAGGCGTGGATTTTCTTTAAATAATAATAAAAAAGAGCTATAAATGTGATTGCTTTGAAATATTTTTCTAAGACAGAAGAAAAAGAAGTAAATTTTTAAAAACATTTTCAAGGGTTATCTGACGTGATTTTTTTTAGTATTTTGATTTTTTTTTTTCATATTTTCCTAAGGGCTAACAAGGCTACAAATCTGTATTAATAACAAATATTTTTGGCAATCTTATTTAAGGCCTAACTGATCAATGAAAGTGGATTTTGTAAAAATACGACTTTCCTGTTTTTTTTTTCTAAGTATTTTTTCAAGGCTAACAAACCCAAATCATGGGTTTTGTTCAGATATTTTCAAAGATTTCGATTTTAAAAATATCTTTTAAAACTTGTCAGAGCCATGAACAAGAATTTTTAAAAAATAGTTGTTTCCGGAACTAACAAATCTTTAACGTAGATTTTTATACACCTCGAAATATTGGTCCTGCACATAGGAATTTGTATATGAATCACGAAATTGTACATGGTCTTAGGTGTAACATTTGTGTGAATATTACTAAAATTTCCATGAAATGCGAATATTTTCAATGCTTCACTCAGTTTCCCGCAAAGCCACTAGTGTATAATCATCGGATAATATTAAGCGGGACCTCGACTTTTATATGAGAGGGAGTAAATACATATAAGACAAGGACTGTTATGCATTATTTCAAAACCGAAGTAGAGCAAACTAGGTGTACCTAGGGTAGCACGTGGTCGACACTGCACGACTATAGCCTTGGATTACTAATTTTAATACCAATTTGGGAAAATGTTGGTAATTTAAAAACACAAGTAAAGCTTAGTAATAATGATCAGTATAGGACCACGTTTTATTTAAAAAAATTAAGGAGTCACGTTTTGTGGGTCTCCGAATTAAATATTCTATAAGCAAAGTCTTGTGGTAAATGAAAAAAAAAACAAATTTTGTTGGTAGTCAGGTTATTATGTTTTTGTGCATTTGTTTGTAACAGGCAAAAGGAAACGAGATAGACCCATAGTTCCTTTTGATGATCTGCATAGAATCACATTCTGAGTCGGTTTATGCATGTACGTCCGTCTGTCCATCCGTCCGTCCATGTATTTTCGTGAAAAAATTACGAAATTTAGATATAGATATTTATTGTGCACCAAACGTGTAATATCAGCCCGAATAGTATGGAATTTTGCACATACAATCAAATTAGTCCTGAAAAAAGTATGCCAAATTTGATCGAAATCGGTTCAGATATAGTTATATATTGTATTGTTCAACCGATTTTTTATTTTTGTCCTCCGGCGCCGTAATATGCACTCTGTAACAAAAATATTTGGGGAAATATATCAAATACAGCTCAGAAATATTTTTGCCAAATTATATCGAAATCGGTTCAGATTTGGATATAGCTCCCATATATAACTTCGTCCGATTTACCTTTTATTGTGCACCAAACGTCTAATATTTGCCCAAATGAAATTTGGAACTTACGACCGAATTGAGTTTATAAGCTAGTGTGCCAAATTTTGTGAAGATCGGTTCAGATATAGCTATAGCTCCCATATATATTGTTCATCCGAATTGTTATTTTTGTCCTCCGTAATATGCACTCCATAACAACGATATTCAGGGAAATATATCAACTACAGCTCAGAAATACCTTTACTAAATTTTTTCGAGATCGGTTCAGATTTGGATATATCTCCCATATATAACTTCGTCCGATTTACCTTTAATTGTGTACCAAACGTCTAATATTTGTCCAAATGGGATGGAATTTGGCACTTACGACCGAATTGGGTCTAGAAGCTATTATGTCAAATTTCGTGAAGATCGGTTCAGATGTAGCTATAGCTCCCATATATATTGTTAATTCGATTTTTTATTTTTGTCCTACGCAGCCGTAGTATGCACTCCATAACAACAATATTTGGGGAAATATATCAAATACAGCTCAGAAATACCCATGCCAAATTTTATCGAGAACGGTTCCGATTTGGATATAGCTCCCATATATATCTATACGATTTCAAATCAATTGTGCACCAAATGGGCAATACAATTCCGTATTTAAAAGATCCAAATGCTTCGGCATATTTAGTCCTTTGAACTTTGAATTATAATTATAATCATAGTGCGTATGATTGAATTCTCGCCATAAAAACTTTTAATTGTTATGTGGAGCTCTACTAAATTAGCAAAGTGGTGTAGGGTGTCATAAAGTCGGCCCCGCCCGACTTTAGGACTTTCTTTACTGGGTTTTTTAATATTTTTCTGCGATAGCAGAGCAAGAGCCACATATTTATTTTTTTTTCAAATATGTTTTTTTGCAACGCTTAGCAGAGTGATTTTTGAGGGTTATCTGAACAACAAACTCGGATGCTTTTTAAAATATTTTTCCAATACTTAAAAAAATTGATTTTTTCAAAACCCAACAAACTTGGATATTTTTTAAATAATTTTTTTAAAACTTTGAAGAACCATAAACTGGGATTTTTGAAAATACTTTCCCAAGAGCAAACAGTACTACAATAGTGAATTTATTACAAATATTTTCATTCAAAATTTTTTTAAAAATAAATATTTTCATTCAAAAATTTTTAAAAAAAAAATATTTTTGTTCAAAAATTTTTATAAAAAAATATTTTTATAAAAAAAATTATTTTTATAAAAAAATTTTTTCAAACAATTTTCATGGAATTGTTGATCTACCAAAGTATTTTTTTTTAAATCAATCAAAAGTCAATTTTTTTAATATAGGATGTTCCATATGGATCCTGTCTCGCCAAGTTATGCTGATCTACTTGTGAATGTCCGTTAGTCTGTCCATTTTAAATTTTAAGCAAGCTTCGAAATTATGTCCCGATTTTCAGGAAATTTTGGAATGGGTTAGAGATTTGGTCAGAATAGATGCCTATGGTGTTTGGAGATGATCCCAAAATATTTAGGATCTAGTGAGATAAAAAAACTGCAACAAAGTCAAACACCATAATTTTTACATTTTTTTTTTTTTAATGTTATTGAATAAAAGCTAAAAATGTGAGAAATAGTATCAAATTTTAGAATAAGTTTAGATTTGTTCGAATTGGTCACCTTTGGCTCGAATTATGGCCTTAAAAGGCCAATGAACAGTCACAAGCTGCCCGAATGTTGCTCTGCGGTAATTTGGCCCACTCCCGGCGAATCGCTTGCTTGAGGTGATCGACACTTTGGTATTTTTAGTGTCTACCTTGCTTTCCAAAATACTCCAGACACAATAGTCAAACTGATTGGTATTAGGAGATTTTGGTGGACATTGTGAGCTGGGAATGAAGCGAGGAAATCATTTTGTAACCATTCTTGGGTGGCGCGTCCCACTCAGCGATGGTTCTGAGAACTGTTGAAATGTCTCAGGTCTCGCTCGACAACGAATGTTTTCTCATCGGAGATGGAGAAAAACTAATTCGGCAGTTCACCACTTTCGGCCAAGCGAAGCAACTTTTTAGCTCTTTTGAGTATATTTTCTTTCTATTGCGGTGTAAGTTCTTGCACTTGTTGGAATTTCTATGGTTTTACCCCGAGCTCATTTTTCATCATTCAATATTTGCCGAATGGAATATTGCGATATGTTCAGCTGACGAGCTAATTTTCGGCCACGCGGGTTTCGATCAGGTCGTTTTTATACCCTCCACCATAGTATGGAGGGCATATTAAGTTATTTATTCCGTTTGTAACACCTCGAAATATACATTTTAGACCCCATAAAGTATATATATTCTTGATCAGCATAAAATTATATGTCGTCCGTCTATCCGTCCGTTCGCTTGTGGAAATCAGTCTAGTTTCCGAACGAAATGAAGTAGGTTGATAAAATTTTACTCAAATGTGTATTATGTCTGCAGGACTTTTGGTATTGAAAATGGGTCATGTAGGTCCACGTCTTTGTATAGCCCCCATATAACGGTACCTCCCGATATTCGATACTTTGATGATTTTAGCGACACTATTTATCGGAATTATTTCAATTTTGGTATTTGAAGTTCGTAATGGATACTACATCCTAAGACCAAAAATGAGCCATGTCTTCGTATACCCTCCATATAACGGTACCTCCCGATATTGGGTATTTTGATGATTTTAGAGACGTTATTTACAGGAACTATTTCAAATTTAGAATTTGAAGTTCGTAATGAATACTACAGCCTATGACAGAAAGTTGCCTGTGCAGGTCCACGTTTTCGTATAGCCCCCATATAACGGTACCCCCGGATATTCGGTATTTTAATGATTTCAGCGTCATTATTTACCGGAATTATTTCAATTTTTGTAATTGAAGTTCGTAATGGATACTACAGCCTATGACAGAAAATTGTCTGGGCAGGTCCACGTTTTATAACCCCCATGGTACCTCCCTATATTCGGTATTTTGATGATTTTAGCTACATTATAAACAGATTTTTTTTTTCAAGTTTCGCATTTGAATATTGTAATAGCTTGTGACAAAAGTTGCCTATGCAGGTCCAAGTCGTCGTATAGACCCTAATATACGGCTACATTCGGTATTTTTGAGATTTTAACAGAATTTTTAACGGATTTTATTTTATTTATTTTTTTTTTTTGAAAATTGTTAAATTTGTACCAAATGGTGGAGGATATTCAATGTTTTTTTTTTATCTCTTTTTTAAAGTGCCAACTAATACCCTTTCTGTTATATCAAGAAAATTATTTCTTAAAAAAATATTTCGATAAAAAAATTATCTTCTTTTTTGACTATTCTTTAAAAAAAAATTGTAAAGTAAATAATTCTCATATTATCCCTTTTTCCTGTGTGTCACAGTCCTG